TAGTCTACAACACATGGGCACAGGAGACCACTTCCTAGGTAGAACCCCAATAGCACAGACAATAAGAGCAACCATAAATAAATGGGACCTCCTGAAACTGAGAAGCTTCTGTAAAGCAAAGGACACTGTCAGTAAGACAAAAAGGCAACCTACTGATTGGGAGAAGATCTTCACCAACCCCGCATCAGATAAAAAATCTGATCTCCAAAATATATAAAGAACTCAAGAAACTAGACACTAAAACTCTAATTAACTCAGTTAAAAAATGGGGTACTGAACTGAACAGAGAATTCTCAACAGAAAAAAAATCAAATGGCCAAAAGACACTTAAGGTCATGCTCAACCTCCTTAGCGATCAGGGAAATGCAAATCAAAACAACTTTGAGATACCATCTTACAGCTGTCAGAATAGCTAAAATCAAAAACACCAATGATAGCCTATGCTGGAGAGGATGTGAAATAAGGGGAACACTCATCCATTGTTGGTGGGAATGCAAACTTGTGCAGCCACTTTGAAAATCAGTGTGGCGGTTTCTCAGGAAATTAGGAGTCAACCTCCCTCAGGACCCAGCAATTCCACTCTTGGGAATATATCCAAGAGATGCCCTATCATACTACAAAAGCATTTGTTCAACTATGTTCATAGCAGCACTATTTGTAATAGCCAGAACCTCGAAACAACCTAGGTGTCCCTCAATAGAAGAATGGGTTAAAGAAACTGTGGAATATAAACACTTTAGAGTTTTACTCAGCAGTAAAAAACAATGACTTCTTGAATTTTGCATGCAAATGGATGGAAATAGAAAACGCTTTACTGAGTGAGACAACCCAGATCCAAAAGGATGAATATGATATGTACTCACTCTTAAGTGGATTCTAGCCATAAATAAAGGACATTGAGCCTATAATTCATGATCCTAGAGAAGCTAAATAAGAAGGTGAACCCAAAGAAAATCATATAGTTATCCTCCTGGATATTGGAAGTAGACAAGATTGCCAGGCAAAAGTTGGGTGCACGGGGGTGGGATGGGTGTAAGGAGAGATGGGTAGAGAGAAGGGAGAAGGGGAGGATTGCGGAGAGCTTGAGGGAATGGGATGGGTGGGATGGAGGAAGGGTGGATATGGGAGCAGGGAAGTAAATATCTTAATTAAGGGAGCCATTTTAGGATTGGCAAGAGACTTGACTCTAGAGGGGTTCCCAGGTCCAAGGAGATGTCTCCACCTTGTTTCTTGGACAGCAGAAGAGAGGGTGCCTGAACTGGCCTTGTCCCATAGCCACACTGATGAATATCTTTCATATCACCATAGAACCTTCATCTGGTGATGGATGGAGATAGAGACAGAGACCCACAGTGGAGCACTGGACTTAGTTCCCAAGGTTCAAATGAGGAGCAGAAGGAGGGAGAACATGAGCAAGGGAGTCAGGACCACGAGGGATGCATCCACCCACTGAGACGATGGGACTGATCTAATGGGAGCTCACCAAGGCCAGCTGGACTGGGACTGATGGAGCATGTGGTCGAACCAGACTCTCTGACTGAGAAGCCAAGGACAATGGCACTGGGTTTTTATTCTACTGCATGGACTGGCTTTGTGGGAGCCTGGTTTGTTTGGATGCTCACCTTCATAGACCTGTATGGAGAGGGGAGGACCTTGGACTTCCCATGGGGCAGGGAACCCTGACTGCTCTTAGGACTGGAGAGCGAGGGGGATGGGGAAGGGGGAGGAAAAAGGGAGGTGGGGAGGAGGTGGAAATTTTTAATAAATAAATAAATTTTTTAAAAAATGGAGTACAGACCTAAACAGAGAACTCTTAACAGAGGAATCTAAAATGGCTGAAAGACACTTAAGAAAATCTTTTAGTCATCAGATAAATGTAAATCAAAACATCTTTGAAATTCCATCTTACACCTGTAAGAATGGCCAAGATCAAACACACTGATGACAGCTTATGCTGGAGAGGTTGTGGGGGAAAGGGGACACTTCCGCATTGCTGGTGGGAAGGCAAGCTGGCACAGCCCCTTTGGATGGTGATTTCTCAGAAAATTAGGAAACAACCTTCCTCAAGACCCAGTAATACCACTTTTAGGTATATATACAAAGGATGCTCAATTGTGCCACAAGGACATGTGCTCAACTATGTTCATAGCAGCATTGTTTGTCATAGCCAGAACCTGGAAACAACCTAAATGCCCCTTGAGTGAAGATGGATAAAGAAATGTGGTACATTTACACAATGGAGTGCTATATAGCAGAAAAAAATGATGACATCCTAAATTTCACAGGCAAATGGATGGAGCTAGAAAACATCATTTTGAGTGAAGTAACTCAGACCCAGAAAGACAATTATCACATGTACTCACTTATAAGTGATTTTAAAACATAAAACAAAGAAAAGCAGCCTACAAATCACAATCCCAGAGAACCTAGACAACAATGAGGACCCTAAAAGAGACTTACAAGGATCTAATCTACATGGAAAGTAGAAAAAGACAAGATCTCCTGAGTAAATTGGGAGCATGGGGACTTTGGGAGAGAGTTGAAGGGGAGGGGAGAGGCAGGGAGTAGAGCAGAGAAAAATGTATAGCTCAGTAAAAACCAAAAAAAAAAAAGATGCCTTTGAATTCTCACATCACTCATTTTTCCAAAAAAAAATTACACAGTGTATTTTTAAAGGAAGCTTAAAATGGATATTTAATCATTAATCAATATGGATAACAAGCCATGGGTACTATTAAGTTATTTTCCTTTAATTCCTACTTTTTCAAAATTACCTCTCTAAGCTTTACACTTAATATATATTTAGGATATTAATTTTCTAGTGATACTTCCAGCATATGCCAGTATTGGTCACTAGGTTTAAATGTTAAGCGCCATGTCATGTTTTAGAATTGAAATCCATGTTAAAGAATCCCCTTGGCTTTCTTATCCCCTTGTGACCTTCTCACCACTGTCCTGGGAATTAAAACAGTATTTTTTAGTAAAAATCTGTGTGTAACACTAGGAACCAAAGTTAATAAAGTCCAATGAATTCAACAACAACAACAAAAAATCTAGGAGGAAAAAAATGCACTTTTTAAAAGCCCATTTAAGAGAAAATCAAAGTTTGCCTTTAAAGAGAGAAGCCATAGATCAAACCGAGTCTTTGCCTGCATGTCAAATGATGCTAAGATGTCATTGTCCTTTCTCACTCAGGCACAAAGGCCCCAAACTTCTTTTTTTCCCCTATTGTTGCCTTACCGTAATACTCTTCTCAGACAGTAAGACACCTGAATGTCTAAATGTCTAAACATTTATCTATCACTAATGCAGGCTCATTTCATGCGAGTGTCTGCCAAGCAGGAACTAGGCTGTCAGCTTCATCCCATCAGAAAGACTTTCAGTCCCAGGACTGATGGCAGGTTCCAATTGTTCAGTCATTCTTGCTTGAACTGAATTTAAAAGTCAGGCTCCTACTGTTAGAGGATGGAACTCAAAGAGGTTATTTAGCCAGAGATGCTGCAACTCGAAATGCAACACTCTTGGCTATAGATTGCGTTCTTGTCATTATTTTTTTTAAATCTGTGCACTGGATGAAGCTCCAGGCAGCGAATGATGAGCAAGAGTAACCGGTACGGCATAATAGCCCTTGTTTTGGTGCATTCTCTTTGTAGTGATTTATTAAGGGAGACTGAAAAGGACTGATTAAAATGCATAAACAGTGCTGAACAGTAAACAACCATGTCTAAGGACGAAAAAATGGGACCCACACGCTGTGCATGGAAATTGCCCTTAACAACATGGCCCATTGTCGAACAGATAGGAAGCCAAAGGTTGCTTGTAATCAAATTTGAAGTTTCCCATCACTTATAAAAGCGACACTTCCTTGTGCAAACGTTTCAATTTGTTGTAGTTAGAAACTGCTTCCTGACGTGAGCCTTGCAGAAACTAGGAAATCTTTTGACTGTCAGGTGGATAGAAAAATTCAAACTAGGTGCACACCAGACTATGCAAAGTGAAACCAAGCTTGTCTATTGAAGGAGAACTAAAATCTGCCGAGTAAAGAGGAGTCAATTAAAGCAGTGCGAGAACTCGAGACAATTATTCCCTTTTTATTTTGTCTAAATAGGAGGGGGCAACATTTGGTGTGTTTGTTAGATGCTTAAACCTCTCTTTCTCTGTTACTCAAAAATCAAACAAATTTTAAAGAAATGTTGATACAAGAAAGAGCAATAAACCAAAAAATGAGCTTTGTAAGCATGAATCAAATGTATGAAAAAATTCAAAATTAAATTTAATTAATAATATGAATTGTCTGGTGGACCGTTATGTGGATACAGATGTCAGCACTATCATACGATAATCATTCTTCAAATGTATGTTTCGAAAGATGATTGGTTGCTAATTCAGCCGACAAAATGATTAATTACTAAATTTCTAAGTCATGTTTATTCTTTCACAAGATGAATATAATATAGTAGACTGCTGATAAAAATAAATTAATGAAATATGAGTAACAATTAAATATTAATTCTGGGACTGGAGAGATGGCTCCGTGGTAAAGAATGCTTGCTGCTCTTCCAGAAGATCCAAGTTTGATTCCCAGGATTCACATTTGGGCAGCTCACAATAGCTTTTAACTACAGTTCCAGGGAATCTGGTGCTCTTTATTTGGCTTCCATGTGAACCTATACTCACATGCCCACATACATGTGTACAAACACACACACATGTGTACAAACACACACACACATACACGTGTAAACACAAATAAATCTTCTAAAGGTAATAAGTAAACTAATATTAATTCTTTGAGCATTTTAAAATGTTTTAATGTGATTTTGTCCAAAAAAATTAGAATGATCTTAATGGTCATTGTCTCCCTCCTCTTAACCAAACTAAAACCCTCCACAAACCTCTTCTCTGTGTTTCCTGATAATAATTCTGCAGTGGAAAAGCTTTCACCATAATCTCTAGGCACTTGCGATTTTTCTTGAGACAAATTCTTCCCATCATTCCAGATTATTGGAGAATGAACATTCCACTTACTGAAAACTCTTCCTCAGGAAGATCTTCTGAGCCCAGCGTGGAGACACACAACTATAATCCAAGCACTTGAGATACAGAGGTCATGAGTTTAAGGCCAACCTGGGCTCTTACAGCAAGGCTGTCTCAAGGTCAAGCAAACAAAACCAGGAAAGTCTTCCCAATGTCCATTCTACCAGAGGGAAGCCAGCATTTGATCCACACAAAATTAGTAAGTACTTAACTGGTGTCTTTTAATTATATGAGTATGTCCTTGATACACCTTTTATGATCAATAATGTTATGATCCTTTGATTTTTCTTCTTATATGAATTTTATCACATTTCAAATCCTTCCTTAGGATCGTTGAAAAATTAAGTGAGAGAACTCTAGCGTGGGAAGTCCTTCTGTCTGTGTGTTGATTTTTTTGGTTAATGAATAAAGAACTGCTTTGAGACTATGGCAGGAAAGAACAGAACTAGGCAGGGAAAACTAGGTTGTGTGATGGAAGAGAGAAGAGCAGAGTTAGAGAGAAGCCATGGAGCCGCCAGAGACAGATGCTGGGAACTTTACCAGGTAAGCCACAGCCATGTAGTGATATACAGATTAATAGAAATGGGTTAAATTAATAAAGAATTAGCCAATAAGAAGCTAGAGCTAATGGGCCAGCCAGTGATTTAATTAATACAGTTTCTGTGTGATTATTTAGGGTCTAAGCTAGCCAGGTGGCCTGGAACCAACAAGTGACCTCCCTCCAACAGAATTCATATTAATTGCTTAACATTCTCTAGGAAAGTCTTAATTGATTAGCAATTAGTGATGAGTATGGATATTGATCTGCTCTATTCCTCTGTGTTACACATATAAACATTTATAAAGAAACTCAATTTAAACATTCAAGAGGCTGAGGCAGGAGGATTGAAAGTTCAAGGCTAGCTTAGGCTATACAGTGAGGCCCTTTTTTAAAAAAAAAAAAGAAAAGAAAAGAAAAGGAAAAAAATACAAAAACAAAAGCAAAGTCTCGGTGTGTTACTAAAGACAGTGTTCTCACTACTCTAGGGTTGCCCTCAGAATGCTAAGATGAAATGGCCCTTTCTAGAAGAAACGAAATCACAAATCTATGTGTGCGCGAAGTTCTTAGTAAATGAATTTATTCACACCTACTCAAGTCCCTGTCACACCTATAGCACTCAGAGCTCCACTTCCCTTTCCTTTGGGTACAGAGGAATGAGTCCAAGTTTTCAGTCTGCAGAGGAATATGGACCTTTGCCAGCCCTGTGTGCTTCTTAGACATTTGGGAAACATTGCCACCTGCAGTCCAGACAACTGCCAGCTGCAGAGTGAGAAAGGCAGGTCTGGGCCAAATGTGACATCAAAAAAATGACAGAAGTGTCGTCAAAGGGGCTCCTCTTCTTGTTCAGGTTAGTAAAATGAAATTTCAGTGTCTTAAACAGAAGGTGATCCGCCAAGTGTGAGGGCACATGCTTGTGAGTCCAGCCCTCAGGAGTGTGGCACAATTTGGAGGCCAGCCTAGATTACATTGTGAGCTAAAATCTAACCTGGGATACACAAGAAGGAGGAGGAAGAAGAGGAGGAAAGGGAGCTAGGGGTTGAGGGGGAAAAATTGAAGGAGGATGGGGAAGATAAGAAGGAGAGAGTGGAACTTTTCGTTAAAATCCTGAGTAAATTCCTCATTTGGCATTAACTGAAGTCATCCTAAACTGACTACTGCCTCCTCCTTCCGTCTCTGCAGGGGTCACCATGTGCTTCCCTTGCTAGGATAGTTTAGGTTCTTCTTATGCCTTCCTTACTTAGTCAATAAAGTTTTTACTTAGACATTGGTAATTTCATACATGAATACAATAAATTTAGAGCCCTCCTCATTCCTGCTCCATCTCCTCCCTGACTTTCCACACCATCCCCCTCCCAACTTCTTGGTTTTCTCCTCTTGTTTTCTCCTACACTGAGTCCAATATTGTTGCCTTCATGTACAGGGGTGTAGGGCACTGACTTCTAGAGAACAGACAATCTACCGTGAGCCACACCACTGAAGAAACCTGACTCACCCTTCTGGCCATCTCCTGTCACTAGCTCTTCAGGGGTTGGAGGCCCATGGGCTCCTTCCTCCTTTATATATTGAGTGGCTTGGTCTTGTGCAAGCCTTATATAGGCAGCCACGTGTAATGAGTCCAATGACCCTGCCGTGTCCAGAAGACACTATTTCACAGCAATCCTCTCCAACTTCTGTCTCTCAGCATCTTTCTGTTCCATCCTCTACAATGTCTCCCTAAGCCTTTATGATACAAGTGCCCCTTGTTCTCTACGCTCTGACCTCTGCATGTCTCTGTACTACTCACCACCCAATGTATAAAACAGCTTCTTAGGGGAGGTCTGAGAACCGCACTGGTCTCTGGGGACAAGGTTAAGTTTTAAGAAGGCAGTTTGATACGGTGTCCCTTTTAGACAAATAACAGTAATGACTATGAGATTCCCCAGTCATGGGTTCTTAGCCAGACTTACAGTACTAGGCCTAAGTTTCCTCTTGTGAGGCAAGCCGTAAGTCCAATTAGAAAGCTGTTGAAAATTCTACTATTATCCCAATGGGCATATCTTGCCAGGTTGCTCATTGTTTTAGCTTGTAGGATTCATAGCTGAATAAAACTATAGTTGGCTTTTCTCTCCAAACAACCAACCAGTTAAACACTGCCCAATACCATAAAAGCCAGCAAACAAGAAGAAGCTTCAAGGTCAATATCAGCTTTATTTTGCCATGTCCCGGGACCAAAGTGTGTGATGTCTTCAGCAACAAAGTCTGCCGTCAAGTTCTGGGGGGCAACCGAGAGCCGTGGCCAGAGCCAGCACTACTCATAGTCCTTGTCGACCATCGTAAACATTCGCCATTCCTCTGAGTGACTGCTTGTACTTACCATTCTCTGAGTCTAGAATGTTCTTCCTCTCCTGTTGACAGAAAGCCCTACCCAAATCGTGCCCTTAAAACTTAATCAATGCTTCCACTGTGGAATTAATATGCAACCTACTTAGCACATGTCTTTTTGCTTCATGTTATTGAGAGATGTCTCTGCAAATGTCTTTCTCACTAGAGTATAATACTGTTATGAGAAAGAATGAATATATTTTAATTGTTTGACTTTCCTACAACCTAACACAATACACCATAGAAAAGAAAATTCCCAAGGGCTCTATGTTCTTTTGTGTGTGAGTATATGTATATGAATGTATATGTGTTTACACACATGTACACTCATGTGTGTTTTAGCACAAATGGGGGTAGTGCATGTGTACATGTGTGTTCATATGTGTAGAGGCCAGAGGGCAATCTCAGACTTCTTCATTGGCACCATATACTTTTTTAAAAATTCTTTCTTTGAGATAGGATCTTACATTGGCCTAGAATTGTCAAGGACACTAAGCTCAGAGGTCCCCCAGTGCCCACCTCCCTAGAACTGGGATTACATGCATGTGTAACCACATCTGGATTTTTACATGGATTTACATGGATTTAAGGCTCAAAACTGTTCCATAAATTTATTCCAATCTGCTGTAATCAGTGCTCATCATTTTATATAAATGACAAGTTTTTCTGTAAGAAAAAAATGCCCCTATTGATTCCCAAATGGAATCCAAAGACATGTCAGTGGCACACTGTTAACTTCTGGGAAAGGATTAATGTGAGCCCAAGCTGTTTCCTTCAGAGCTGGCTGCAACAAAGCATATGTAGCCATCCTAAGTTGCCTTCCAGCAAAGGGAACCAAAATGGTTACTTACAACTTAATTTTTAAATTCTCAAGGTCACAAAACAAATACTTGAGGAACTTGGACGCTGTTATTGTAGATGCTAACACAAATTCTGCAGATATAGGTGAATCTGATGAACCGGACACTCAATGTAAGCCTTCGGTGTCGTCTGCACACTTCTTCACACCGTCTGTGCCTTCTCTCCTCTCCAGCGTCGCACTGCAGTGCGGTCAGTGTGTGTTCTGGTTGTGTCTCCGGATCCATGTGCACCCCAAGTTGTATGGTGAAATTGTCTAGCTTCATTTTCCACCCATATCTACCACTCACCCTCAGCTCCTTACCAGTTTCCTAGGCAACATTTTGCTAATGTAATAATAAACCACCAATTGCCAATGGCAGGGCTAACTCATAGAGCTCTGGATTCACCTTAGTTCTCGGCTGACACTGACAGTTTACCACTGACTTCCTGAAGTAGTGCCTGCAGCTTCCTTAGCCATCTAAGCAAGCGAGGTACAGTTTCCTGCAGGAATGGGAGGTGCACATTTTTGAGTGGATTGGTTTTTTTGGAGAAAGAAACACTTCAGTATCCTTCGAATCAGACTATGGAAGCATCTTTCCACGGATGAGTCAGCAGAAATCCCGTTTTCCGATGTGTGGTAAGACTTAGCATTCTGGCTACAAAGTAAAATCTGTGTTTATCCAAATTCCACCCCAGCTGAGCCCTCAGCCGTGCATAGGGATGCACGGATCCCTGGACGGCAGCTCTGAACGCCATCCCACAGGCCCATCCCAGCTGAGCCCTCAGCCGTGCACAGGGATGCACAGTTCCCTGGATGGCCGCTCTGAACACCATCCCACTGGCCCACTCCTGCTCTTGCAGGTTTTCTGGAAAGAGGAGGAAAGCTAAGACAAAGACATAAAAGACAAAAAAAAATGACTTTTAAAGCTCACACAGGCTGGCACAACTGGGCTTTTGACAAGTAGGATACACTTGCGCAGTCCACTCTGCTGGACAATAAACAACTCAACAAGAGAACAAGGGAAACAAATTGGATGGAGGTCTCTGCCGTGATCACATTCCTTCTGGTTCTCGCTACGTCTGTCCTCTGACTTCCAGAGATAGGTTCTGAAGTGATGCTCTAAGTCAGGATCTTAGAGCCGAGGAAATCATGCAGTACAGTGACAGAAACCAGTCATTGCATCCTTTTCAACTTACTTTATGCGTATGGGTGTTTTTCCACGTATATGGGTACCACTTGCGTGCCCGGGGCCCACGGAAACCCGAGAGAGCAACAGATCTCCCAGAATCAGACTTATAGACAGTTGTTAGCGGCAATGGGAGTACTGGGAATTGGACCCAGGTTTCCTGGACAAGCAGCAGCCAATGCTCCCAACCACTGAGTCATCTCTCCAGTGCCTAATAATTTTATCCTTAAATAAATCCCTCTAACAAAAGGCATGACAAAACTTAAAAGA